GTACCATTATATGACCCTTTAAACAAAGATACACATTATATAGGCCTACACCGTGCTTTAATTTCAGGAAGGTCTACTAACATTAGTGTTTATGTATGGTCTAAAAAGAAATCTAATAAAAAGTAATTGAATGTAAAATAACACTGCATGTTTTATCATAGATAGATAATGCTTATTAAAGCTGAAGTTATTCATTCAATAGCTGTGAATATAAAAGCCGGTCATTTTTACATATTTTTGTGTTCATTTGATAGTTTAGACACGCACATGAAACCCAAAGTATAATTTGCTTGTCTCGTTGCGGGACAATGTTTAACATTGTTTTACTTAAAGGTGCAGTGTGTAATATTTCTGAGGATCTATTGACAGAAAGGCAATATACGATCCATAACTATCTGTTCAGTGCATAATGAACCGTTATGTTTGTATTACCTTAGAATGAGACATTTATACCTACATAACCGCGGGACCCCCTTCTATAGAGGTTGACATATTGTGTCGTCATGTTTCTACCGTAGCCGACAGCGAACACACAGCGCTACAGAGCGCGTTTCCTCACTACCTTGAAAAAGCAGCAGCAGAAAAAAAAGAAGCAGCAGACTCTGAAAGAAGAAGAAGCAACAAATGAAGGAGCACAGCTATTATTTAGCACAATTTTTCCCTTGTCAGTGGTGTAAAATATGTCGTTGGATTGTTTCATGTAACTTAGTTCTTCTCCCTCGCTGTGTTATGGCTGGATAAATGTGCTGGTTACTATTGACCGTAAAACAGTAATGTTAGGCCGGTAACACACTGGCCGCGTGGCGTAAGCGTCTCAGCGGCGTGGCGTGTCTGTTTTTATTTCGGCTCCCATGTTAACAGGTTAGAGCTTGCAGACTGCCGGCTTGAGCCGCGCGGAAAACGCGTGCATGCTAGAAATAGAACCGACGCCTATTTTTCACGCGACACGCAAGCGTGTTGGAAGCGTTTCCAGGCAAAATAGTATATGAAAAGATGTTTATATGTCATTTTGTACACGAATACATATTAATAAATTACATTTTGATGGTTGAAAGTCTAGGTTTTGACAAATTCAGATACAAATATAATTTAAAAATAAATAATGATCAATTTTCAAATATTGCACCTGTCAATACAGAACGAAATATTCTGTAGTCTATTTTGCTGTCAATCCTGCTGACAGTGTCTTTATCAGTAGGCTTTATATTTATGCTTAACATGAAGTATAGGGCTTCCACAATACGTCCTCTCTGTACGTCACCTAGCAGCAGCAGCGTCAACGTCAGACACGCTTCTGGTGTGCAAAGACACAGAAAACGCCACGCAACAGAAACGCCACACTCACGCCACGCAGCCAGTGTGTCACCGGCCTTAGCTTACAGCATAACAGCTCATATTAGCCAGCTAAACTTTTACTAAGCCGTGAGTGACTGGCTGTTTGCAGTTCCCAACCACAACACTAGATGCCGCTTAAAATTACACACTGCACCTTTAACATTAAATTTATTTATTTATTTTTATTTAACATTTAAAAAACAAAATGTTTTTTGTTAAATATGTTGAACCAGGGTATCTGCACACTTTTTAAAGTCAAATTTAAGGCTTTTTAAGACCTTTTTAAGACCTGAAGAAATCAAAATTAATACCTTACATTAGGGGTGCGCAATATTGAAAAAAAAATGTCTCAATATTTTCAAAGTTTTGTTGATGATAATTAGATGATATTTTACTGATTGTGTTTGTGTACTGGTACCATGGCTGGTTTAGGCCTGTTGTTGACAGCTGACTCACGAAGATATTCATATTTTTCATATTCTATGCAGTGGTCAGTTCACAGCAGTGAAAGGAATTAACATTTTTTTATTAAAGGGCAATATTTGCAACCTTAAATTGAGTTCCAGGGGCATTTTCACCCATATATGGACTTTTTTTTTTTTTTTTACTTCGAGGTATGCATCACCTTTTATGTCAAATTCTAACATTCAAATTAAATTATATTAGAATAATAACACAATACCACTGTTACCAGTTATATTAAATCAAAATCCATCTTTGCAGTGCAGAGGAGACACAGAAGCAGCATCAGAACTGGCATTAATATATTTATACTCCATTTACAATTGCATAAATAAAGCTATGATATATTCAATTCTTTCAATTCTTAATTCAATATTTAAATATGAACTGATTTCTAATTGTAACATTTTAATTACAGGGTACTTTAAATGTGAAACTAAACCCGCCAGTAGGCGGCGGCAAGTCACTGTCTCAGGGAGTCATTCATTCAAACGATTTGTTCAAACGGCTGATTCATTCAGGAACTGCAAGTGATTGTTCATTGAATCGTTAAAATGATTCTAACATTAGAACGAATTATTATTAGAACTAATAGTAAATAAAAAAGTACGCTAATTAGATAGTTTTAATTTGGAAAACATTTAGATATGTCTAACTCAAATTGCCATTGAAAATTTAAGACCTTTCATAAGTCAAAATAAGACTTTTTAAGACTTTTTAAGGCCATAAATTTTTAAAATCTAATTTAAGACTTTTTAAGACTTTTTAAGGACCCGCGGATACCCTGTGAACACTGTTGATTTATATGAGAAACATGAAAACTGTCAAATGTGTTGCAGTTTGCGGTAAGCGCGGCTGAAGAGAGGCTGATGTTATAGTTGCGAGAGAAGGCCACAGATTCCAGCTTGTTTTCAGTGGTGGGCTGTCACCGTCATCAGGCCTTCTCTGCTGGACCTCTCAAAATCAACAACAGGAAAAAAAATTAACAAAAAAAAAACGAGTGAAGACTGTGCGCAAGCCACAAGAGATAGAGAACACTGTATCCGCACCACTGATAGCAGCGCAACCAGCACTCAGCGGGAGCTCAGAAACTACACATTCCAGCGCTAGAATGACTCTTATTTAACAAACCAACACAATTAATGCACTACTAGTTAACCAGAGATGATTTATTCATTAGTATTAGTTACATCCGTGCTGCGAGATGTTTCAGAAAGTAGTGGGGGCAATATCGACCCTGGCAAGAAGTGGTATATTCATATTCACTGAAATATTTACATATTTACGCAAATGACCCCTATGCCTATATAGCTGTTATAATGCACAGTGGAGAAGACTTGGAGATCGCTGCTGAAGGCCCGGACTGAAACCAAATGAATTGTGTTTTTATTCATGTAGAATAAAATCTGTCCTGAGTAATTTCTGTCGCCGGTCTCGTTCATCGACCCACAACACAGAGCTAAACGAAGACCGGTCACGCGTGATCCAACAGAGGAGACACACAAACACACTCCGGCATTTTGGTCACACAGATAAGAGTAGGATTGGTCGAAACTGCTAAGTATTTTAGGGCTGCAACAACTAATCGATAAAATCGATAATAATCGATTATGAAAATCGTTGTCAACGAATGTCATTATCGATTAGTTGGTCTGCTTACGTCACGGGGAGCGTTTACTGGTGATTGGTTGAAACGGGCCAATCAGGATGCTCTCTGTCTTACACGCGCTTCATGAGGCACACACGCAAGGTCTCTCTCCCTCCGTTGCTCTGCCGCGCGCTCGCGCTACACGGTTTGGAGCACAGTCTCTTCTGTCTCGCATGCGCGCTCAAATCCCGGGAGTTTGAACTAATTTGCGAGCATCAGGGAGCATATCAATATGCGGGTGACTTCCAGAACTTCCGGGATCTTGGGATGTCTGTATTTTGTCTCGAGCATCAGGTTGCGCAATCAGTTCGCTCGCAACATAAGTGATGGATTAAAATAGTGCTACCGCAGAAATATTAAATTAAAACGGCCTTTACAAAGCGAAGCACTAAATATAAAGGCAGTTAATAACAGCAGCAGTAAATTATTGTTTTTTTAGTCACTGTACTCAGTGGTTTTCAGCGAATGTTTGTGCACAAATGCATCATTTTTCCTGTCTTTTTAATCAAGCCTGTTAGCTTGCTGCGTACCTCCATTACGTTCTCTTTATATAGCATTTGTCTAGCCTACTATTAAGTTTTAATTGTTTTTCAAACGCGATCTACTGCGGCTCTATGTTCACACGCTTGTTTTCAGTCTTTCTATATTTATTTTTTACAAATTATCCTTATAATTCAATTAATTTTAAATAAAAATTAAATGAATTATATATTTTAGATGTTTTTAGTTTATATCTTCACATCTGAACAACATGTCTGTAAATTTGTTTTAACAAAAATTGTGTTAAAACAATATGTTGGATATAAATGTTTTTTTTTTTTTACAATAATCATGGTTGTCAACTTGCCATCAGCAATTATTAAAAACAATGCAAATATTGATATTTGTGAAACTCAATGTGTGGCTTTTGCACTTTTTAAAGTACACTTTTACACATAAATACCCTAATTTAGGGTTTTAGGTAACACTTTATTTTACGGTGTCCTTGTTACATATGTTACATGTACTTACTGTAGTAATAACAGTAAATTCTGCATAATTACATGCAACTAACCCTCAACCTTATCCTACCCTATTCCTATAGTAAGTACATGTAGTTACTTAATATTACTCTGTACTTAAATATATAATTACACTGTAACAAGGACACCTTAAAATAAAGTGTAACCGGGTTTTATTTAGTCATAATAAACAAAAAAATCGAATCGAAAATTTTTCTCCGATTAATCGATTAATCGAAAAAATAATCGTCCGATTAATCGATTATCAAAATAATCGTTAGTTGCAGCCCTAAACTTTTGTGTACACTCACAATAAAACAGAACATTGTGCTTTTGTAAAATAAATCAAACAAACAGGAAGTGTTTTCTGTCGTCTCGGTTTCCTTTCCGTCAACTTGTTTGTGGAGCGCCTCACAGAAATGAACCAAACTCAGCAGAATACTGGCACAGTTTTAGCTTTTGTTTTGTTAATCTGTTCAATATTTAAATCTTTTACTTTTATTTAAGTTAATTCATTAAAATGATTCTTCAGCTATTAATGATGAAACACTTACAGAGCTTTTCTGCAGTTGACCACAGCTGGTATCAGTCTTCTTCTGCCCTCATCTGATGTGTTGTATTTCATGGTGTTCAGCTCATCCAGCGGCTCCTCTGAGATCTGAAGCATGTAGGAGATTGTTGAGCAGTGAGACGGAGAGAGAAACTCCACTGAGTGTTTGTCTGATTTCACAAACTCCTGAATCTCTCTGGACAGAGTCTGATCTTTCACTTCCAGCAGACAGAGGAACAGATTGATGGATTGATCCGCTGAGAGAGGATTAATTATCCGCTCTTCTTTGATCGTGTCTTTAATGAACTGTGTGGTTCTCCTGATGCTCTCTGAGCTGTTCTCTGTGTGTGTCAGTAGATCCTGTAAGAGTCTCTGATTGGACTCCAGTGAGACGCCCAGCAGGAACCGCAGGAACAGATCCAGCCGTCCATTCTCACTCCTGAGGGCTTTATCTACTGCTGATGTTAGTAGATCATACAGAGAGTCTTCACCAGATCTGAGATACAGAGAGTCTTCATCAGATCTGAATCTACGCAGAAACTGCAGTGGTTCCTTGTTCTTCATTAAATAGCAGTAAAACACATAGAAAGCAGCGAGAAACTCCTGAACGCTCAGATGAATGAAGCTGTAGACTTTCCTCTGATGAATCACAGATTCCTCCTTAAAGATCTCAGTGCAAATCCCAGAATGGACTGAGGCGTCAGTGACGTCTATGCCGCTCTCAATCAGGTCCTCCTCATAGAACATCACATTGCCCTTCATCAGCTGATAGAAAGCCACTTCAGCAAGTTTCACAATCACTTCTCTGTTGGACTGCAGGAGTTTCTCTGGATCTCTCTCTTCATACTTCTGATTCCTCATGTGGATCTGAATCAGCAGGAAGTGGATGTACATTTCAGTCAGAGTTTGAGGGATTTCTGCACTCAGATCTTCTTCCAGGAGCTTCTGGAGCACAGTGGAGGAGATCCAGCAGAAGACGGGTATGTGGCACATGATGTGGAGGCTTCTTGCTCTTCTGATGTGTGAGATGATTCTGCTGGCTTGATGCTCGTCACTGATTCTCTTCCTGAAATATTCCTCCTTCTGAGGCTCATTGAATCCCTGAATCTCTGTCAGACGGTGGATGTATTCGGAGGGGATCTGATTGGCTGCTGCTGGTCTGGAGGTGATCCAGATGAGAGCCGAGGGAAGCAGATCTCCTTTCATGAGCTTTGACATCAACACACCCACTGATGAAGTCTCAGTCACATCAGAAACGTCCTGGGCGTCTGAAAACATCAGTGCGATTCTGCTTTCATCCAGACCATCAAAGATGAACACAACTTTACACTCCTCATACATCTTTGAGTCCAGATCTTGAAGTTCAGGATGAAAGTCCAGCAGAAGTGTGTGAAGACTGTACTGATGATCTCGGATCAGGTTCAGCTCTCGAAATGGAAGCACAAACATGAAATCTACATCCTGATGGTCTTTCCCCTCGGCCCAGTCCAGAATGAACTTCTGCACAGAGACGGTTTTCCCGATTCCAGCGATGCCTTTAGTAAGAACAGTCTTGATCCGCTGTTTCTCCTGGCGTCCTGGTTCAGGAGAGGCTTTAAAGATGTCATTGCAGTGGATTGGAGTGTCTTGTGAGTGTTGTGTTCTGGCTGATTTCTCCATCTGTAAAACCTCATGTTCTTCATTCACTCCTCCTCTCTCTCCCTCTATGATGTAGAGCTGTGTGTAGATCCTGTTCAGGAGGGTTTCATTCTCTTGGAGATTCAGTCCCTCAAATAATCTCTCATACTTGTTCTTCATGCTGGTTTTGTGTCTGTGTTTGACTCTCTGTAGTTCATCATTCACTGGCTGAGGAGAATCCTGGTCTCCAGTCTGATCATCTCTATAAACTCTGCTGAAACAACACAAGTGCACAGATTTAAGAACATGAAAAATGACATGATGGCAAATGAGAAATTACAATTAGTAATAATAAGTAATAAATGAATGTGGTGGTGGTGATGGCGCAGTGGATAAGACACATGCCTTTGGTGTGAGAGACCCGGGTTCGAATCCACTGTGAGACACCAATGTGTCCCTGAGCAAGACACTTCACCCCGAGTTGCTCCAGAGGCGTGCGACCTCTGACATATATAGCAATTGTAAGTCGCTTTGGATAAAAGAGTCAGCTAAATGAATAAATGTAAAAATGTAAATGTTTAAGTAGGTCTGCAATGACTAATTGATCAAATGGATAATAATAGATAATGAAAATAATCGATGATGAATTTGATTATGGATTAGTCGCATCTGCACACTGTGCACAGAAACCATCAGACAGTCACGTGGTTTATAGTAGTGAGTAACACATTTCTAGAAAACACATATAGAAATACTACTTCATAGAACCCGGAAACCATCAGACCGTTTTTACAAGGAGGGACAGAGCAGTGTAGAATAAAGGTAAAATATATGAAAAATAATGAACACGTTACAGTGCACCCCACAAACACAATCAAGCCTTCGAAAAAACGTGTTTTACCCCTTTAACAGAAGACTGACAGTGCACACGCTCCTGCCTGATAAATAGCCTATATTAGTTGAAATATATATATTTTTTATTTCATTGTCAAGACATATACATGTATCTACTAGAATAGAGCCGTGTAAATATTGCATAAGGCCATCCTCAACCTTACAGTCGGCTACTTGTATGACACTCCATCTGACACGACTTCTGTTCAGCAATCAGCGGTTGTTGTTATGCACTGGGCTAACGTTTGCAGGTTATAATTTAAGGGTAGTTAACGTTACAGTTACTGCGCTGTAACTTTGGCTATGTTCACTGCATATTCCACAAATGAACGTGCCATCGCCGACATCCAATACTAACATTACTTTATCACACCAAGTACTCTCAGTCACTAATGGCCCGTTCAGACAGGACGTGGAGTGCGCTGCGCTGTGAAACCCGTTTATTTCAATGGCTTGCGCTGCCGAGGACGTTTTGTTGCTGAGTCGACCAAAGCGGAGCGCAGCATTGGCGAGCTCGATTGCACGCCGCGGTCAGAGTTAAAAATAGTTCAACTTTTGGCACTGAGCTCTGTGACGATTACCGGCGCGGCCAATAGAAACGGGGCATCCAAACAAGCGCGGAAATCAAAACCAAAACTCCGCCCACTTTTGCTCTGGCCAGCGTAGCGCAAATCACTCTGTATCTGAAGCTACAGTTTATTTCTCCATTTAATAAACAAACTATTCAGTCAGATAGGTATTTGTTGTGAAAGAAATGCAGTTACAATTTCAAGCATTTTATCCAAAATGTAAGCACTTTTCAAACCTTGAAAACACAACATCAAAATTCAAGCATTTTCAAGGATTTCATACACCCGTACGAACCCTGGTGAATTCAGTGTGTTTTTGACTTCCATAAAACAGTTAATTCACCACTACAGGTTTACACTCACCTGGGGTCAGAGGTCACTGCTTCATCACTGGGGTCAGAGGTCACTGCTTCATCACTGGGGTCAGAGGTCACTGCTTCATCACTGGGGTCAGAGGTCACTGCTTTATCACTGGGGTCAGAGGTCACTGCTTCATCACTGGGGTCAGAGGTCACTGCTTCATCACTGGGGTCAGAGGTCACTGCTTCATCACTGGGGTCAGAGGTCACTGCTTCATCACTGGGGTCAGAGGTCACTGCTTTATCACTGGGGTCAGAGGTCACTGCTTCATCACTGGGGTCAGAGGTCACTGCTTCATCACTGGGGTCAGAGGTCACTGCTTCATCACTGAGTTTAGGAGGCTTCTCCATGGATGCGTCACTCTTCACAGACACACAGCTGGGATCTGGAGATGAAGATCTCTCTCTGCTCTCTCTGTTCTCCATAATGAGAAACTGACTTCAGATCTGTGCATGGAAACACTGAGAACAAATCATACAGAACATTTAGATTATTCCAGTACAGTATCAAACCCCAGTACTACACACACAATGAGATTGTGGAGATGTGTGTGTGTTCAGACTGTGTAGTTGCAGCAGTTTGAGGAGGATCCTTGTAAAGCATAGGTTCTCAAAGTGCGGCCCGCGGGCCAATGGCGGCCCGCCGAATTTCTGGCGGCCCGCGATAACATCTGTAAAACTGTTAAAACTATTGCTTTGAAAAAATGAATATCTCCGTTTAGTGGTGTTTAGCGGCATCCATAGGCATAAGCGGTAATTACATGGTCCGACCGACCGATCGCACTTGACCTCACTCCCAAGGCCACCAGGAACAGTGGTTGTCTACACAGGAATAGGAATCGTGGCCAACCGAAACCAGCACCACAAATCCCATTGCAATTTAAAAGGGTATGTTGACCAAGTAATCAATATTCAATGTGACTTAATAATAATCTTAACAATGTCAAGCTTATTAATGGCCGTGTTTCCATTACCTTTCAAAATGTTCGCGGGCGCGAACACTTGCATTTTCCTATCAACAGTGGAAACAACTTAAACTAGTCTATCATTTCTGGTCATACAGAAAATAATAATGCATTATTCGCAACTACTTTTATTTGTGTAAACTCATAACAAGAAAACGTGCTTTTGTAAAATAAAATAAAACAATCAGTAGCCTAGGCTACTACGCGCTTTCATGATCTCCGTGAACTGGAGCGCGAGAACTGAAACAAAATATAGCCTATGTAGGCTAAAGCTTAAAATGTGCACTTTTAAACAAACAAACTCGAATCGAAAGCAAATACCTGATTATGTAATCCGTATGAAAGGTGGATTTCTCTCTAAAAGCGCATCTGCTTAACAGCGGAGATGGAGATATGTTTTTAGCCGACACTTAGAAAACAATAGTTTATTAATAAACAATTAAAATGCCTCGCTGTTTTTTCAGACGCATTTATTATCATTAGCCTATAACTCACCTATAAATCAGGCTAGATCAGACACAGGCTATATGGCTCTTCTCATTCATCACTGCGGGAAAAATATCAATTCCAGGTTCTAATTTGGCCTTAGAAAACCAGTAAAATCGACATGTTTTCCATATTAATTTGTGAATATTTAAAATGTTTAATAAAGGGGCAAAAAGTCATTTAAACAAAAATCTGAAAAAGTCTGTCGATATTTACTTTTTTCGCGCAGCAGTTGGTGAAGCCAGTTCAAATTAAAATTTTGTTCAACTTTGCGTTTTAAAAAGACAACAACCGTTCATTTTTTCGTTTTTCAGTTACGGGTTAAAAAAGATAGAAAATAATATGCAAATCTGCAATAATGGAAACGCGACTGACAAGCAATGATAGAAATGAATGATGATGATGACTTGTTTGGTAAGCTTCTATTTTAAAAGTTTCTTTCTCTCCCCCCCAAAATTTTCACAAGTTTTGCCAGGTTTAGCCTCAGTTATGAATTAAAATGTGTTTATTGCAACTAATGTAAACTGTAGAGATGCAACCTGGTCATTAAAATAATTTCAAATGGGATTTTCTTTTCAGTTTTTTTTTTCTTCGTTTTCTCCCCCGCCACTTTGGCGGCCCTCAGTTCAATGTTGGGTTCCTAAATTAGCCCTCACCTATCAAAACTTTGAGAACCCCTGTTGTAAAGAGACTCACTGACAGCTTCTGTGTGTCAGAGCTTATATCACTCTAACTGATCCTCACACTGATGAAGAACTCTCTGAACGCTTACACATGGAGCCTGTTACACTTTATAATCATTAATAGTTGTTCTCCCTCCACAATAATGAGTCTCAATGTATTCAAGCGATGCAGATTAACAATCAGATACAAAAAACAACTATGAATCACATCAACCCAATTTTGACTGTCATCATGTTTCCAACACTCACAAGTTAAAATGACTCAAAAAGGAGGTAATACAAAAGGACCTGACTAAATGGACAAACCTAGTTTTAGATTTTAATTCCAGGATTGAGGTGATTAAGATTAATCTGTTACCCCGATTGTTATACTTATTTATTAGGGATGCAACGATACCGCTTTTTCAAAACCGATCCGATCCGATCCCAAAATTCTGAGTATCGGCCGATACCGATACCAATCCGATACCAGTGCAGTTTTTTTTTTAAATCAAGTAGAATTTCTATAACTCTGTGTGTTGAACTGATAATCACTCTTTTGTGTGTTAAACACAATCTACTTAACACAGACAACTTAATTTTAAAGAAAAACAACAAATCCAAAAAATATATGATTATAATCTGTGACAAAAATGCTATAATAAACTAGATTAGTGGATAATTCAGCAGTGCAATTTAGTCTAGAAAAATCATGAGTGCACAATAATTGTATAAAATCTGAACATTTAGTGAAGAAAATTTAGGGGAACAAATAAGAGACAATAAGTGTAACACTAAATCTGGTCAAACATTACACATTGCTCTTTGTATTGTTGTAAAATACATTCATGAAAAACAAGATAACAAAAATCAAAAAGATAAATTATTATATATAGCCTGTATAGGCTACTATAAAATTGAGACATGTTTTAAATGTATAGCACAGCTGTTTAATGAGGCAGCAACATATGATAGATAGGACAGAACAAGAAAGGCTATTAATAATCTTTCATTGCGCAAAAGTAGTATTATATGATTATGAAAGGATCCAATACAGTGCGGCACACAGCGCTTATGCGCATCCCGAGCGCAGAATGATGCGCTTGAAGCAACACGGAGTCACAGCGCGCAGCGCGTCGAATCCGCATTGAACAGTTCAAAGCACAAAGGAAAGACATATCGATGCGTAGTGTATTATACACAGTATCTATGCAATCGTTTATTGAGCCTTTTCTTTTAACAGTTTTAAATTTCAGTTACTGTGCGCGTGAAGAACAATTATGGTGCTCTCTGACTCTAGGCTACTCTGTTGCGATCTAACAGACGCCCGGTAGAAAGTAACATGATTTAGTTACAGCAATAAAGTCCAGCAATATAAAGTTGTTTTATGCTAAACCATAGACCTTTATCTACAGATCAAGAATAATAATAGTAACATTGAATCATCTTGATCTTGGAGAGTTTCATCGTGTTGCCTGTCGTAACAGAACGCGACGCGCTGTTAAATGCTGAATGGAGAATGACTGACAGCCGCAGCGGAGGGAAAAAGTTTACGAGGTCTTGAATTTAATGACTTAAATATTAATTTTTATCTCACATTATACTATATAATGGCTTCAGAACACTTATAAGATAGTGCACGAAAACTGTATGGTACTTGATAATGTTTTGTGCCTTTTGTGGGGCTTAACAATAACACAGAATAATACGCACAATATCGGATTTGGATCGGCCTCCTCTGACCGATACCCGATCCGGCAAAAATGGCAGTATCGGAGCCGATACCGATACTGAGTATCGGATCGATGCATCCCTATTATTTATATCTCTACCAGTTGTAATACCAGATTCTCAGTTTGCTAAATGGGATAAGCAAGTGAGTAGATTTGTATGGAAAGGGGCAAAACCAAGGATTAGATTTAAAACGCTTCAGTTGGAGAAATTGAAAGGGGGGTTCTCCCTTCCGAATCTCAAAGAATAGTTTACAGCTGCCCAATTGAGGTATATTATCTATTGGTGCTCACCTAAGTATTATTCCAAATGGAAACAAATTGAAGTTAACTATATCCCTTCGTCTCTACCTCAATCAAGCCCGGGTGAGAAAACTAGTATACAGTTGAAAGAGGGGAGTCCCATAGTCGAAACAACCATTAAGCTCTGGTGGGACACGGTGAAAAAATACAAATTCGAAGGTGATTGTAAATTCTTGATTTGGCCTTCTTTCTCTCCTGATTTTAGAAGTGGTCAATTGGACAGCACATTTAGAAAGTGGGTTGGAAAGGGAATCACGGCAGTGTGTATGCTTAACAAAGGTTTAGTGTTTAAATCATTTGAGGAAGTTAAGAGGGAATTTGGCCTGAACAACTCTGACTTGTTTAGGTACATCCAATTACGGCACTTTTATGATTTAGAGATAAGGTCTCACCTATCACAGGAGGGCTGTGAACTGGTAGAATTGGTGTCGGGAGCATACCAAAAATTACCCTCAAAAATTGTTTCTAGACTGTATAAATGCCTGCAAAACTGTAACGGTACTAATTCACTGTATATAAAACAAAAGTGGGAATCTGAACTACAAATCCAGGTGTCAGAGGATGATCGGCATTCTATTTGTTTATTTCAACACACTTCCACCAGCTCAAGACAGTGGAGAGAATTTGGCTGGAAAAACATAATTAGATATTTCATATTACACCTCATATCAAAAGTAAGCAACTCAAGACCAGGGACGGATTAAGGCGATGATGTGCCCTGGGCACGGATGTCTCAAAGGCCCCCTTCACCAATTTTTTGGACAACAGTGGGCAGGCAAGCCAGGCATTTTGAGGGGACCCCCGAGGGCTGGTCATTTAAACAATCAGAAATGTTAATAATAACAGACGCAGCAACATCTCTGCATCCCCCAGTGTGGAGCCTCTTGCTCGTTACGCTCGTTATGCTTTTACCTTTTTCAAACTGGTGCAGCGCTTACTCGCGGTAGGTAGAAAATGCATGATTTGATTTGTTAAACATGAAAAGGACTTATCCGTCTGGCATGGCAGCTCGCTCTAACTTTAACCTAGATAAATGCATATCCAAGTGCGTGTGCGGAGTGTGCAGCGCGCACTGCATGGCAGGCGTCGGCGCGAACACTTGCATTTTCCTATCAACAGTGGAAACAACTTGAAATAGGCCTACTCAATCTTTTCTGGTCATAGGCCTATACAGAAAAGAATAATGCATCAGTCGCAAGTAGCTACTTTTATTTTTGTAAACTCACAATAACAAGAAACCGTTGTGCTTTTGTAAAATAAAATAAAACAAACAGGGCGCGCTTTCATGGTCTCCGTGGCGTGAACCGGAGCGCGTCTCAAAAATGAACTGAAACACAGTGTATAGCCTCACATACATGATGAATATTTCTATATAAAGCTTGAAATGTCCACTTTTAAACGAAAAAATTCGAATCGAAAGCAAATACCGGCTGATTAGGCTGATATGATATGAAAGGTGCATTTCTCTCTAAAGGCGCATCCACTTTACAGCAGAGATATAGATATGTTTGCAGCCGACACTGATTTAAAAATTTTTTTATTAAACAATAAAAATGCCTAGTTTTTTCCAGACATATATTATCATTAGCCTGCTTTTGCCGGTGCTTTGCGGCAATATTTATGCATGCGCTTGCGTGAGCGTGGAATAGGCTATACGCCTCCACTCAGTATTTAAGCAGAAATTAATATTAACGTGAGATTAGTCGACTAATTGCTTAAAGGAATGACTAATAGTCGTCGACTAGAAAATCTTTAGTCAACGGCAATTCTAATCAATGCATTTATGCCAGTTGACATTTATTTAATTAGTAGCCTAATTCTAGTATCCAGGTCTTTACGTTAAATTAGTTGAGTTAACAATTAGTTAATGAACTAAAATAATAAAACAAAGATTAAATTAAGATGCTATATAGCATTGCTTGTTCCACCACAAAAGACACTTTTTAAAGTGACAATCCGTTACACATTTGAAGATTTACTGTATCTTGAAGATTGTTGTATTGTATTATATCTTCTGTTATAAAGATGAAGATTGACATTTCGTTAAAAAAAAATAAGCCCATAGGATACTATTGTAAAACATAAACAACTTAGCCTATGGTCTGTCTTGGTTGTGGTTTTAAACTCATTTTTGTTTTGGTTTTTGAGTAACCGTCTTCTACGCGTGACTTTTATATTACGCAATGCTTTTCACTCGCCTCTAGATGTCCTTCTCAACAGCGCAGCAATACATTCAAATTATTTATTTCATTTATTTACTAGTTAATACTTTGCAACTGCAAAAAAAAAAAAAAAATCACATTATTTCTCAATATTTAACACAATTTTACTGAAAATAAAAATAAAATAAAAAGAATAATTTGAAAAGAATAGACACAGTACATTTTACAGGGCCCCCTGCTGGCCCAGTGCCCTGGGCAAGTGCCCAGTAGGCCCGTGCGTTAATCCGTGCCTGCTCAAGACCCCCCAGCATTGCTGGAGACTCTGTGGCAGTACGAATGCCAATCATTCTCATGTATTTAGGTCTTGTCCCAAAGTCAGACCCTTCTGGGAAATTATAGCGACTGAAATAAGGGTTGTCTTGGGCTATGCGTTTCCAACTGACTTCCAATCTATGTACCTTGGTTTACTTTCCTATTCAGTTATACGAACAGAGGATATGTATCTCTACAAAGTTTTATTGATGGCCAGCAAAAAAACTATTACAAGGAACTGGCTGAAGAGTCTCACATTAACATTGTCACAATGGAATGAGATAATGGAAGAAATCTTTACAATGGAAAAAATCACTCACTTTATTAGGCTGAAATCAGCTCTTTTTGAAAAGAGATGGAAGAAATGGATATTCTATAAGACCCAAGTGTAAAAGGGAATCTTTGTAACATAACACCCTGCTGTTCTGTTTTGTTCTGTTATGTTTGTTATTATTTGAATTTGAATAAATAAAGAGTTACATTTTTTTTTACAAAAATAAAAGACTCAAAAAGGGCCATTAAGGTTCAATGAAATTTATTATCATTGTATTATTTTGCATCACATTAAAGGTTGATTATTATCAGATATGACTTGTATTATTTGTCTTGTTATATTATATATATTTATCCTCTAAATAGCCTAACACAAACCAGGTACATTGATAGGCGTTTTAATAGCCATCAAAAATACATGTGTTTGTCATAATCTTCTCTCTAAAGCTGATCGTCTGTGAGTCTGGCCAACAGAAACCCGGAAGTGTGGAGTATTTACTTTAAATGTTTACATTTCTACCTCTGTATATTTTTCAGATTGTAAAGAATCCATTAATTAATCTCAGCTAAAAGCAGAATCCATAGATCTTGATATCATTATAATCCTGAAGATGAACTAGTTCACTTTTACATGGGTCACAACACTATAAAATGAGTAGGCCTATTAACATATGCTAATACTTGAAGATCGAGTTTAATATGATAGCGACGCAAAAATTGTACAATAATATGACATGATATCAGAAGCAGAGAAATTAACTTACCGTGATGTGATATTTATGTTTGTTTCAAGATTTCTGAAGGTGAATTTATATTTCCTAATGATCTTCTTTACTTTCGGTTTCTGCACAAACGTGTTTCCTCCAAATGCGCATGCGCAGAGGCCTCAGCTCAACAACAAATAAACCCCGCCCATCATCTCTCTTCTTCTTCATTTAGTTTTCTATGTTTAATTCTGTGGTGAAGGATGTTTAGCGCCTCCTACTGTACACTGAGTGTGTGACATCATCACTTCCTCAATCTCTCTAAGCCTTGCTTTCGCTTTTATCTCTTGGGGTCGTCCGTGATGAAACATCAGCATTGAGTTAATATAATATAATAATAACTATAATAACGGGCGTTAGACTTCTCTAACCTGAAGAATCATGCAGAGTTTTGTTCATCTTGCTCCGATCTTCAGCTTTACATCTGTAAATATCATCAAGCTGGTTTATCATTTATGAAGCAACAGTTTGATCATCTGAGAGATTTCCAGAGTCTGTGATCATAAGAGCAGAAGTTTCATTCATTACTTCTTCCTCAGTTTTACTCACTTACTTTCTCATCAATTTACCAATATCACATTTTACTAACTCACAATTATTACTAAAAGAGCGTTCATTACAGCTTTCTTACAATAATGCTTAACAAATATTTAATTTGAAGCTTAATGTTATTCTGAGAAATAAGACTATTTAAGTTCCATTCTGCTGGTTTAATAAGTGCTTACAGAGAGCTTAGTTTATATATAGATAGCCTTACAGTCAGTTAGTGGAGTTGAAGAATATCAACTAAATATTGTGAAGATCAATAGATTGAGAGATCCGCTATAAGTCTACATGAGAGAAATGAGAAGCTCTTGTTTCTCCAGGTAAAAGCTTTAGTATCAGTGGATTTGCTCCTCCAGACATCAGTCACATCAAGTCTCTCCAGGAAAGCTTTATATTCTGAATGAAGTGATGAGAGTCTCCTGTCAATCATTTATCAAGAGCTGTCAATCACAACACTGAAATCCCCACCTATAACAAGTAGAGTTTGTGAATTCAGTCAGTCAGTAAAGTCTTCTGCTTTCTAGAAACTCAAGAGAAGAGGCGTTCTCAGACCTTCAGTTAAACACAGAAATATTGGCCGTAATATTAGAAGTCAAGTTTAGATGGATAACATGACACAGAAATGTCCATATGAATCCCAGTGTGAATGTGACGGATTCTCTTTAAGTGTGTTTCTTCATCACTGCACTTCTCTGCTTTGCTCTTCTTGATCTTCAAGTCTTTTCCCTCTGAACACACACACACGTATGTGATTAATCCGGAACGACATCGGGTCATTCTGTCACACTATTAGTTCAGTGGATTCAGTGTTTGAGAAGCTCAGTTTCTGCTGATGTGGCGTTAGTGATGATTCTTATGAGTCTGAAATATGCTCTTCTAATCGATTCAGCTTTATCCAGAAATCACATCATGTGACATACAATGTTGTGAATTTCCCCTACGATTCTGTCATTAATGTTCATCAGAGATTTCCATCTTCTTGTGTTGTCTTGTTCCTGCAGAGAATTAAAGCTGGAAGAATCATTTGAAAAGTGTTTAACATTAAATGGTTTTGTTCATAGTCAATGATACGGCCCTGTATCGTGTGTTAGACAGTCCAGTGTGCGCTCATATAGAAGATATAAATCTCAGTAATCGCACATTACCAGAGCTTTACTCTTATTATTGTAGTCTCATTACTATCACACATGATTATAAGGTCATGAAAGGCAGTTGTCTGAAGTAAAAGCCCAGAGTTTGTGATAAAGTTTCCTCAGAAAAGCTCGTGTCAGATGTAACGCTTCTCATCCGACAGCACTCAAATCACAGACGACACGGAGAACTGCGTTTCATGCGTTGTTTACTGTAACACAACAAGGAGAAACATCTCTCCTCTGGCAGTGACAGTGGGCATTTACACATATACATGCATCTAAAAGAGCAAACAGAAATGAGAGATTCACCCGTGTTTGAATCCAAAAGATGGAGTCAGCCGAGCAACGCACATGTTGAGCAAACTGCATCTAAACTTCACAAAGTTACTCACATACAATCAACATCAGCTTACATATTCTCACATAACGTCCACCAACTTTAATCTTAATATTATTGGTGAAAAGTTGGGGTTTTTAACCCTGTTACACACACTCTTTGCGAGCGCCGAGTGATTGACGTTTAACGGTTTTGTCTCCATTCACTGAAATAAAGAGCAGCACAGACACCATTAATAACTGAGAGAATGAACAACACTAATGCCTCATAATCCAAGAAAGACTAAATAAGGCCGAGTCTGAAACTACAGTCTCTACTGAGAATCAAAGCTTGTTGAGATTGAAACACACACTCGCTGATCTCTGATGTCTTCCAGATGATTCTGTCTAATCTGAGGAGGATTCGTGACCATCAGAAATATTTCACACATTTCAGTTTGTCATATTGACCCAGAACAGCTTCTGTGTGTCTTTGATGATAAACACACACACACATATGATGTTGATGATAGAGATATTTGAGTGTGAGCTGAGGCACAGTGGCTGGTGTGTGTGTGTGTGTGTGTGTGTCGCTCCTGTCATATAAAGCTGATCTAATAAAGGATAAACAGCATCATTTCAGAAGAAGATGTTGTAGTGATGAAGGCAGCAGATTGAGCTCTGAAGCTCCTGAAAGACTGGAGTTACACCGTGATCATCTGTGTTTAACAGCGATACTGTGAGTGTGTGTACCGCCGCTGATACTGTGAGTGTGTGTACCGCCGCTGATACTGTGAGTGTGTGTACCGCCGCTGATACTGTGAGTGTGTGTACCGCCGCTGATACTGTGAGTGTGTGTACCGCCGCTGATACTGTGAGTGTGTGTACCGCCGCTGATACTGTGAGTGTGTGTACCGCCGCTGATACTGTGAGTGTGTGTACCGCCGCTGATACTGTGAGTGTGTGTACCGCCGCTGATACTGTGAGTGTGTGTACCGCCGCTGATACTGTGAGTGTGTGTACCGCCGCTGATACTGTGAGTGTGTGTACCGCCGCTGATACTGTGAGTGTGTGTACCGCCGCTGATACTGTGAGTGTGTGTACCGCCGCTGATACTGTGAGTGTGTGTACCGCCGCTGATACTGTGAGTGTGTGTACCGCCGCTGATACTGTGAGTGTGTGTACCGCCGCTGATACTGTGAGTGTGTGTACCGCCGCTGATACTGTGAGTGTGTGTACCGCCGCTGATACTGTGAGTGTGTGTACCGCCGCTGATACTGTGAGTGTGTGTACCGCCGCTGATACTGTGAGTGTGTGTACCGCCGCTGATACTGTGAGTGTGTGTACCGCCGCTGATACTGTGAGTGTGTGTACCGCCGCTGATACTGTGAGTGTGTGTACCGCCGCTGATACTGTGAGTGTGTGTACCGCCGCTGATACTGTGAGTGTGTGTACCGCCGCTGATACTGTGAGTGTGTGTACCGCCGCTGATACTGTGAGTGTGTGTACCGCCGCTGATACTGTGAGTGTGTGTACCGCCGCTGATACTGTGAGTGTGTGTATCGCCGCTGATACTGTGAGTGTGTGTACCGCCGCTGATACTGTGAGTGTGTGTACCGCCGCTGATACTGTGAGTGTGTGTACCGCCGCTGATACTGTGAGTGTGTGTACCGCCGCTGATACTGTGAGTGTGTGTACCGCCGCTGATACTGTGAGTGTGTGTACCGCCGCTGATACTGTGAGTGTGTGTACCGCCGCTGATACTGTGAGTGTGTGTACCGCCGCTGATACTGTGAGTGTGTGTACCGCCGCTGATACTGTGAGTGTGTGTACCGCCGCTGATCTGCACAATTCATTTAGTGTCAGACAGTGTGTGGAGAAATAAAGCACACTATCAGGAGATCGTCTCTGTGTTTCATTCTGCTGATCTCTCGTCACATTCATGATCATTCACACTGTCATCAGTTCTCATCATTCTCCTTACTCCAAATACATCTTCACTTAAACACACTGATGAAGAAACTGGTGTAGAGACAAATGTGTTTACAGTCCAGCGTCACAAAGCGTATGTGTGTAAATCCAGCCAAACAAAGTCATAAAGTATAAAGGATCCGCACACGTGGAATAGGGCGAAGACACACACACACACACACACACACACACACACACACACTGACACACACACGCACACACGTGGAATAGGGCGAAGACACACACACACACACACACACACACACACTGACACACACACGCACACACGTGGAATAGGGCGAAGACACACACACACACACACACACACTGACACACACACGCACACACGTGGAATAGGGCGAAGACACACACACACACACACGTGGAATAGGGCGAACACACACACACACACACACACACACTGACACACACACACACACACTGACACACACACACACACACTGACACACACACACACGTGGAATAGGGCGAAGACACACACACACACACACACACACACACACACACACGTGGAATAGGGTGAAGACACACACACACACACGTGGAATAGGGCGAACACACACACACACACACGTGGAATAGGGCGAAGACGCACACACACACACACACATGTGGAATAGGGCGAACACACACACACACACACACACACACACACACACACACACACACGTGGAATAGGGCGAACACACACACACACACACACACACACACACACTGACACACACACACACACACTGACACACACACACACACACACACGTGGAATAGGGCGAAGACACACACACACACACACACACACACACACACACGTGGAATAGGGTGAAGACACACACACACACACGTGGAATAGGGCGAACACACACACACACACTGACACACACACACACGTGGAATAGGGCGAAGACACACACACACACACACACACACACACACACACACACACGTGGAATAGGGTGAAGACACACACACACACACGTGGAATAGGGCGAACACACACACACACACACGTGGAATAGGGCGAAGACGCACACACAC